ACTAGATTTAACTATGGTAGATAGTTAAACAGATACATTTACCCCTTAGGCGGCTTGGCCGCAATAAAATAAATAAACAGTTTCTGATTTGGAAAGCGTAGAGTTATTACGTGTATTAATAACTCTAAAAGCCCTCGGTATAGGGCTGTGTGTGCTTCCTTGCGTAAGGAACTAAGTATCATTGACTCTTTGAGTCGGACGTCTTCCTCTGACGCTAAAGCTACGGCAGCCCCGCTGCACTTGGTAGCACTTGTAGTCAATACCGCACCTGAGTCGGTTGACTGTATCCTCTGTAAGGATGGAACATCCCGTGTTCGCAAATTTGCCCCCGGCGCAGCAGGACGCGCTTAATAAGCTCATGTCTTTGCTTGGCCCGGAGGGCGTCTCTCATCTGGCGTCGCAAGGTCCAGAGGAGGTTGCCGCCAGACTGGAGTCGTTTTCTCGTTACGAGAACGCGCTCTTGGAGCATGTTCAAGAACGGATGAGTGCCGCAACGGCGGCAGCGTCGGCGACGCGAGGAGAGTCTACGCGACCGAAGCCGCTCTTAGTGAGCGTGAAGACCTTCGAAGGGAAGGATGGAGAGAATCTCCTTCTCTGGACCCGTGAGGTCGAGATGGCCATGGGATCGGCCTGCTCCAGACTGAGCACCAGCGCGTGGCGCTTGCTATCTCCAAGCTGGGAGGTCGCGCTCGCGAGTGGGCACTGACGTGCGGTACGTCAGTGGACACTGCGTTTCCCACCTGGGCTCAGCTGAAGCAGCAGATGTTGCGCGTATTCGCGCCGCCTAACCAGGCTTATCGTGTTCGATCTAAGCTCCTGGCTACCCGACAGGGCAAGAAGGAGTTGCTGGACTATGTCCAAGAGTTGAGAACTCTAATCGCTGGGATGGCTTGCCGCGGTAGGTCCCCGGTCCGTTTTGGTGAGTACGTGACTTTGAAACCATGTCTTGAGGCCAATATTTGGCGTTATAGGGCAAATGGGAGTGCAAATCATATGTCCGTACCTGCTCTGCTCTCGAAGTTCACTTTTGCGTCGATCGCCCAAAACAGTTAATTTGGGCGGCTGGAGTGCCCAAACTACGAAAAGTGGACCCTCGACAGGTAGGAAAAGTGGACCCTCGACACCTAAAATAAAAGCGAAAAGTGGACCTGAAAAACCTGGCGATAGATAACTATCGCCCGGAACATATATGTAGTATCCATTATTACTACAGAATATTATATTAAATTCATCTCCTTTATTTGTTTTACTCCTAATTTGTATACTATTCCATTACTTTTCATAGTGTATTTTAAAAAAACTATTTCAATATTACTTTTATAATTACATTACCCCCCCCCCCATTTTATAAACCTATCACATTTCCACTAAACTCTACAATCTATATCCCATACTCTTTTATTTTTATTTTCACATGCAATATATTCTCTCTAAAATACCTAATACTAAATTTATTTTAATTACCTTTTTTCATATTTAATCTTTATCCTTTTTTTTTAATATTCTTATCCTTCTTTTTTCATTCTTACTTTTTACTATCCTATCACTGCTTTCTATTTCTCTATATTATGTTAATTCTTCTAATGTATTTTCTCAATAATAACATTCAATTTTGTGTATTTTCTCAATAATAACATTCAATTTTGTGTCACCTTTAACCTAAACTTAACCATTTACATTGTATAAACACTTACTAATACATTATCTGTCATGTACAATACTCTTTATTTCTATTTCTCACCTAATATATTCTTT